TTTCTTCTCCGAGACAGGGTTTCTGTAACCCTGGCTGTCCTGGAACTCGCTCTGTAGACCAGGCTGGTCTCAAACTCCCAGAGATCCACCTGTCTCTGCCTCCTGAGTGCTGTGATTAAAGGTGTGCACCACCACTGCCCTGCTGGAAACCAGATTTTCAGGGAGAGGAACTTATGCAGTTTTGTGATCTGAGAGGTGTGACGTCCCTAAGGGACTGCTGACTGCTCTGAGCCCACTGCAGGTTTACACAGAGGACATTGCCAGCCCTCAAGTCTTGGGTTTTGCATGTTCTGTTCCCCTTGGCTGGCAACACGTTCTCCCTGGCTGCTCATTACTCTATGGGACTTGAGTTTTTTTTTTTTTTTTTTTTAAGACAGGGTTTCTGTGTGGCTGTCGTGGAACTCACACGACATGGAGTTCCAGGCTGGTCTCAAACCCAGAGACCCACCCGTCTCTGCCTCCTGAGTGCTGGAATTAAAAGCCTGCGCCACCACCTTGCAACTCATTTTTTATGTCGTCCCCCCCACCTCCTGGTTGTTTGGCATGCCTTCCCCTTCTAGGCAACAAGGACAGATGCCTGCAGTTCCTAGAGCTCTGCACAAGGCTGGGAGGGAAGCAGGTGCTCAAATATTAGTTGACTGGACCAGTTTGTCTTTAGCACAGGAGCTGCCCTCGGGGGGGGAGGGCACCAGTGCGGGTGATGCCCTTTGTCAGGTGAGAAGGAGGACGGAGGTGTGGTAGTATATATGGAAGCTAAAGTCTGTGACCTGTAATCCCAGTCCCAGAGGCTGAGGCAAGAGGCCCATGAGGGTGTGGCCAGCCTGGGCTTCCAGATGCCCTGTTTGGCATTAAATAAGCATGCCTTCCTCCCTCCCTCCCTCCCTTCTTCCCTCCCTCTCTTTCTCCCTCCCTCCCTCCCTCTCTCTCTCTCTCTCTCTCTCTCTTTCTTTTTACTTTGGTTTTTCAAGACAGTTTCTCTGTGTGGTCCTGGCTGTCCTGACTCCCTCTGGAGACCAGGCTGGCCTCAAAAGCAGAGATCCACCTGCCTCTGCCTCCACCATCCAACTGAGCCCCCACATTGTTAAAAAGAATAGCAGACATTGTGGGACATGCTAATAATGCCAGCATTTGGGAGGCTGTGGCAGAATGACCATGAGTTCAAGGTTAGCTTGGGCTGCACCACAAAACTCTGTCTCAAACGCAAAAAAACACACACACACCCCAAAAACCAAAACTGGGCCTGGCCTACATAGCAACAATCTGTCTTTAGAAGAGGCAATCCCAGCCGGGCAGTGGTAGTGCACGCCTCTAATCCCAGCATTCAGGAGGCAGAGGCAGGTGGGTCTTTGAGTTCAAGGCCAGGCTGGTCTATACAAAGAAACCCTGTCTCTAAAAACAACAAAACAAACAACATAAAAAAAAAAAAACTGTGTGAAGTCACACATATGTGATCTCCGAGCTCAGAAAGAAGCAAGTTTGAGGCTAGCCTGGGCTCCTTACCCACTATAGTGTCTGCCACCAGGGAGGGTTGAGAGAGCTGAAGCCCCCACTGCTCCTGACAGGGACCCTTCTCTGCTTCTCTTCCCAGCACCCCAGCAGGCAGCAGCAGCAGTTCCCATCCCTGGACGACAAGCCCCAGTTCCCGGGGACCACGGCAGAGTTTGTAGACAAGCTTGAGTTCATCCAACCCAATGTCATCTCCGGCATCCCCATCTACCGGGTCATGGACCGCCAGGGCCAGATCATCAACCCCAGTGAAGACCCCCATGTGAGGCTGCTTCCCGTTCCCGGGCCCCCATGCCCAGGTCCCTTGCCTGACTCCTCTAGCTCCAACTTTCCCCATCTGTCTGCCTCTGCCTGCAGCTGCCCCAGGAGGAGGTACTGAAGTTCTACAGGAGCATGACCCTACTCAACACCATGGACCGAATTCTGTATGAGTCCCAGCGGCAGGTAAGGGGACAGGCTGGAGCAGGGTGGGGTCACCCCAGGTACCTGCCTGTGCTTGTATTCAAGGAACGCACCAAGGAGGGGGTGGTGTGGGCATCTTCTCAGTGGTGCCCTGAGAGTCCGTGGGGTTCTCCTGGGATGCTGGAAGAATGTGTGAAGGAACACTTAAAAATACCTGCCGTGTGCACAGCAGAGAAAAGTTCCACAAGTGCCCAGTCACAGTCATGACTTCAGGCAGGACACTTGTCTTGTCTTTGTCCTGGTCTCCACACTGCATGTTAGCTGGGTACAGAGCTCAGTGGTAGAATTCTTGACCTGGGTTCCGCCACCAGCTCTGCAAATAAATAAGTAAACTACTTAAAAAGCCAGGCATGGTGATACGTGCTGTAATCCCAGTGCTTGGGAGGCTGAGGCAGTAGGATAGCCTCGAGTTCCAAGCCAGCCTACACTGCAAAGTGAGACAGTGTCTCAAAGCTGCCCCTCCACCCCAGCGGATAAATCAGTGAGTGAGAGCTGGTGGTCTAACCTGCAGCCTTGGGTGGGAAGGAATTAGCTGTCTAGCACCGCAGGAGCACCCCAGCCTATGTTCGAGGATTATGCTTAGGTGCGAGGACGGAACTGCCCCCTCCAAAGGAACAAAATCAAAAGCAGTACTTAACAGGAGCCTGGCTTGTCCTCTGGGATAAAAGAAGCTAGGGACGGGGGCCTGGAACTCATCGAGTGGCAGCTGAGTCTCAGAGCGTGTCCCGCCTCCTTCCATTGCTTGCTCTCCCATGCCGTACAGCACTGGCTCTTTCTTCATGGCGTCCTTATGCTTCTCACAATCCGGGTGGCTGCGGGAGTCTCATTCCAGCCAACAAATAGGACGGTGGGAGGCTGAATATGATCTGTCCCATCTCTCCTCACTCACATTTTCATAGAGCTTTCTCGGGCATCCCCTGAATAACGTGTGCGCACAGGTCCTCAGCCCTTCCTGGTTGCCAGGGAGACTGGCACTAGCCCTTTCATCTGGGTAGCTCCTGCCTATGGCGGAATGGGAGGTGGGGAGGATTCTGGGTGGACAGGCTCTGCCACTAGCCCAAGGTGGGGGTGCATCTCAGGCTCCTCCACACGCTGAACTCGACTGCCCTGCAGGCCCTCCATATCCAGTACCCACCCACCCACTTGGCACCAGAAAGTCAATTAACTTTTAATTGGCTCCCCACTTAGAGAAAAGCCCTTCTTCATCACTTTCCTCGGCAGCTGGACAGCCAGGTTCCAGGAACAGTGCTGAGCTCCACAGGGGTGGGGGTGGGGTCCTGAGGGGCAGTCAGGAAGAGCGCTTCC